AATAATAAACAGTTTAGTTATAAAGATAGAATGCCGTTCTAAGGATGAGGTATTGGATTGATGCATAATTATCCGGCGAGTTATTTGTTAATAAAAATTTGTTTTGTTTCCTTTTTTTAATAAAGATATTTTATTTTAATTTATAAAAATTCATATCGATAATCATACTCATTTAAAAATGTTATTGTTGAAATGTTATGTTTCTTTTTTCATAATAAATATTGTTTAAAAAAACGCCTGATAATCATGCACAGTAGTTTTTTAAATTCGTTGAGAAATTAATTTTATTATAAAATGTATTTACGTTTTTACTGGTTTTTATTATCCGAAATCTTACGTTATTTTGAATTATTTGGTTATTAACAATTCTGAAATAATCTTAATACATATCTGTATTCATCTAACAAAGTAATCACAACCCTGTATTACATTTATTTCCTGCAACAAGGAAAGAATCATACTTTGCAGCATATATTATTTTTAAACCATGAAAAATTTAATACCTTATCAAGTGTTAATTTCCTTACCTTTTTCATGTTATCATACATACATTTTAGTGAATATCTTCTTAAATTTCAACTGTTTTAATTTATATTTTTATTTTACAATTTCTTTTATTATCAATCTTTTTCTCACTTCAGTACTCAGCTCTTCCCCAATGGACAGTAAAAGGAATTGCATTTTTAGGCTGACCCAGCAGGATGCTGGAAAAACTTAATAATGAATTAATTCAATCCTCCGTGTCGGCTGTCTTCAATGAAAGATGTTTGAAAGAATTTTCCTATACTTGTATTTTGATTGGTCCATCTAGCTTTTGTAACAACGTTTTCCCCTTGTGAAGGATTGTTAATTAATTCGAAACTTTTAAAACCATTTATTTTACATTCAACATCATCACTTGATAAGACACTGAGAGTGTTGAAACAAAATGGCTATTTTTGTAGTGATTTTATAACATATTTATGTTATAATTTTTTTTTGAATAAATAATTATATATATATATATATATATATATATATATATATATATATATATATCACAAACTGGAAAATTACTTGTGACAAGTTTCATCCGTTGGGATTTCATCGGACTGGGATGGAACTCGTCACAAGAAATTTTGTCATAATTTTTCTAAATACTTTTTGTTGATATATGAAATTATACAAAATTATGTATCGATATATCATATTTATGATATATACATATATGCATATAGATAGATAGATAGATAGATAGATAGATAGATAGATAGATAGATAGATATGGTATATGAAGCAATATAGTTTATAAGATATGCTATATTTATGGGATAAAGTGCTGAATATCAGAGATAGACCGTATTTAAATATATAAGTAAATAGACTGTTTCGTGCTTGTTTTTATTTTTATATATATATATATATATATATATATATATATATATATATATATATATATATATATATATATGAATGTATGTCTGCATTTATTTATTATATATATATGATACTTTTTTATGTATATATATATTTATTGTGTATATATATATATATATATACTTGTATGTATATATATATATATATATATGATATATACGATGTATGCATGTATGTATATACATATATATATATATGTATGTGTTTGTGTGTGTATTTAGGCAGCAATCCTTCGTTTATGCATGTTTCATTAAAAACGACAGACAAGGTACTACGGTTAAGCTTTTTATTTAATTTTTTCTTGTGTTCGTACAAGAGCTTTCTTTTCTGGACAAAGGGCGTGTAAGACCTTAATTATGTATTATATATATATATATATATATATATATATTATAAAAAAAATTAAGACAGCTAACCTTATCCACAAAAATAACAACACACCAGCTAAGTCAAAATTACAAGAACGAACATTATCTATGAGTTCAAATGCCCCTTAAGGAACTGTGTTCCTGATCAAACCGGACTCATAAATAATTACATCGGTTACACAACTACATCCAGACGCCTTACGTTACACCTATCTGATCACAGCTCCATTAGAACCCATTTAAACACACACACAAATTTACCAGACTCCATTAGAAACATACTAGTAGAAAACACAAATATATTAACTGCATCCACCTACAAAAAAAGACTAAAAATAATGGAAGCTTTATTAATAAAAAAGAAAAAAACAACTCTTAACAATATTAACTACGAACAAAGCCACAATGTGCTAACCGTGTTCGGAAATTAAAAACATCCCTACCACACACTAAGACATACACATAACGCACACACTCAATTAAACTGAAAAATCGAATCATCCTTGATAATGGCTAAAGGTATAGCCGAAAGCGTTCGGAAATATAAAACATTTGGACAGTTCTTACACACCCTTTGTCCAGAAAAGAAAGCTTTTGTTCGAACACAAGAAAAATTAAATAAAAAGCTTAACCATAGTAGTTTGTCGTTTTTAATGAAACATATATATATATATATATATGTGTGTGTGTGTGTGTGTGTGTGTGTGTGTGTGTGTGTGTGTGTGTGTGTGTGTGTGTGTGTGTGTGTGTGTGTGTGTGTGTTTGTGTGTGATGTGTGTGTATCAATGGATTTGATGATGAAATGGTAATTTTTGTCCAGGGGCCATTTTGCAGCAAAAGCTCCTGAACGTTTAGTTAAAGTTAATGAAATCATTAGAAAAGGCAAATATATTGATATTTTCGCCTACTAATTTACTGTTTTTAATTTTTGTTTAATTTTGGATTAAAAAAAATTCCAAAATCTTTGCTGGATACAATGCAATTGTAGTACATTTATTAAAACATTACTATTCCTATTATCTAAAATTGTATATTACACACACACGTACATGTACATGTACACGTACACACACACGTAGACGTACACACACACACACATATATATATATATATATATATATATATATATATATATATATATATATATATATATATATATATATATATATATATATCAATGGATTCTTTAGCTGGCATTACTTATGACTACTCTAACCCCATTTTGGAAATAACAATGTTTGAGTAGATGTACTGTTTCTTTCTTCTGATTTTTTTTCCAGTAGTCAGAATTATGTCTACCGGCCTGCTCAGTCGAAAGACACAATAAAGATAATGTACTCTCTGGAAATGTTTTGTAAACAAACTTGTATGTGATAGTTTTATTGATTCTTGGTACATGTTTCACAACTCTTTCATCAGCCAAACTTTTCCCTTGATTCAATTTTCCAGTTCGAATGTCGCAGTTCAATACTGTCTTTTAAATGTCAATAAATCAAAATACCTAGAAAAAGATAATTTTGTAATTAAAAATTCTAAAACGGATAAGAATAAAAAGAGTAGAAAAAAAGAAGTACACCAGTGCAACATACAGATATTATAATAATGTTAAATAATTTTTGCATCATCAAGAATTCAAATAGGATTTAAATTGTTCATTTAAATAATGTATTTTTTTTAAAATCCAGTATCCTTCTCTAGTAGCCAATGTATATGCGGTCTATGGTATCGATACAGTTAAAATTACATTTTTGTTTACACTGATCGTTATTTGAGAAATATTTGAAAATTGACTTTTATCCACAGAACGATGTCCTATTTTACCTTCAGGGAAATGACAAAGGGCTTCACAAATATAAATAACATAATAGTCAGTGCATTCAAATTTGTATACATGCATAAATATCAATTTTGAAAAAAGCAATCTGCAACAAGACATCTACATTTTTTACCAAGTTATTCATTTTATATTGAATAGTTTTTTTAATAATCTTACAAAATATAAGTTTTAAAAAAATGGAAACCTGCTTGTCATGTTTTAAGTTTTGATTATTATCTATTATTATTTTTATTGATTTTGATTATTGTTTTTGATTATTATTTATTATTTTTTATTTTATTTATTAATTCCGATTATTATTTATTATTAATTTCCGATTATTATTTATTATTAATTTTGATTATTATTTATTATAATTTTTGATTATTATTTATTATTATGTTCTGATTATTATTTATTATTATGTTTTGATTATTATTTATTATTATGTTCTGATTATTATTTGTTATTTGTTTTGATTATTATTTATTGTTGTTTTGATTATTATTTATTATTTTTTGGATTATTATTTATTATTATGTTTTGATTATTATTTATTATTATATTCTGATTATTATTTTTTTTTATTATTTATTAATTTTGATTATTATTTATTATTATGTTCTGATTATTATTTATTATTATGTTTTGATTATTATTTATTATTGTTTTGATTATTATTTATTATTGTTTTTTATTATTTATAAGTTTTGATTATTATTTATTTCTTATGTTCTGATTATTATTTATTATTATATTCTGATTATTATTTATTGTTGTTTTGATTATTATTTATTCTGGTTTTGATTATTAATTATTATTATTGTTTTATTCACAGAATTATATGTTTATACTTACAGAATTATATTTTTATTTTAATAATATCTTTTAATTTATTAAAATAAAAACATAGTGGTATTTTTAATTAGTAGTATTTTCAATTTGCGTTATTTTTTTTGTAATAAGTTTTTTACATCATTTTCCTCATTATTTATGTTGTATCTAATGTAGTTTCATTTGAATAGACGACCTGTAAGAGTTTTAATCCTTTGAGCCCTGACTACGGCTTTACCGGTGGTAGAGAAAAATGACGTAATGCCCAGCCACCGGTTGGACAGTGGTAGAGAAAAATGACTTAATTCCCGGACACCGGTTGAACGGTGGGTAAACACTTGTAACTATTTTTATATCTACCGTGAAACATTACGTAATAATTATTTGCGAATTTTGACTCTGGGACTCAGACAGAAGGGTTAAAATCGTTCAGGAAAGCTGGGCTCAAACGGTTACAGGAACCTGCTTTATTATCCAAGAATAATATTTGTGAAATTAGTAAATAGACCACTGTTAGTTATTTTCTGAAAAGTACTTTATGTTCTGATTTTGAGAATTCATATAATTCAGTAAGAGAACATATGTTTTATATATATTGTTATGGTGCGATTTCTTGTACCACGGTGATAGTCCAAGGTAGAACCAATAAAGAAGAACTCGAACACAGATATGGAATAACACAGATATATTACAAACAGGAATATATACAGAGAAGTAGAAAGTGTTAGTACGAACAATCAGGTTTAGTAGTAATTGTCTGAACACGACTCTGTTTCGGACTGCCTCTGACTCGACTGACTGACTCGCTCGCTCGCTCGCTCTGACTGACTGACAGACTCCTGACGGACCTCACTCCAGACTTCAGACTGAACAGTATCTAGTCACCCCACCACAAGGGCATCATGTGGCACAAGGCGGGTTTAACGTGGGCACAAAGCCCGTGGGATCTTTCTGGAGATCTCCGAGCCCGTGGGCTCGGCCAAAAAAATATGCCCTTTGAACCCGTATAAACGGGTTCAGGGTCGTTTTACCTACCCGAAAGAGACTCCGCCCTTCGGCGTAGCCTCGTTCGGGTTCCTCCCCGCCCGAAGGAAGAGAGTTCAACCGAGCAGCTGGTCAGCCGGTCGCCCGACTTCAGGCTGAACTCTCTGCTTCCTCTTGAGGCGCAGTATTTATTACGTATGGAATAGTCCATTATGTTATTATGGGTAAAGTCCCATAACGTATATATATATATATATATATATCGTCTACATACCTACGATAACCTTTGTTTTGTTCGGTTTGATTGTTCAACAGCATATCAACACTTTCATTTAATGCTGAAATTTGGTAATTTTTTTAATCTCAAAATCTATTGCTGAAAATTGTTTTTACTATTAAAAATATATTGCTGATATTTTTACTATAAAAATATATTGCTGATATTTTTACTATCAAAAATATATTTGTAGTTACCTATTTGCTCATAGCTGGGACCCTAACAGGTGCTACCAACACGTGCCAGGGTGGTCCTAGGAACAACGGTTATTAAGATGTGATTCCACGCATCTCAAGACTTCCCTATCAGAAGCCTTGCTTCCGGATGTAGTTTATCGTCGTGCTCAACACAGTATCATAAATTATAGGCAATGGTCTATCATAGTTATCTAACCACGTTTTCTCAATACTCGCTACTAATTAATAACAAAATAAAACAAGAACCTTGACTAAAGTTAGATCCCATTTCCACTCCATCAAAATAGTCCCTATTATACAAGATATGGTAAAGCTGATTAACATTTTAATTGTATTTTTTTTTACATTTTTGCTTGATGATGTTCAAAAGATTTTTTCTAATAATAAGATCATCATCTAATGGAATGTTAGTTAATAAACGTATTA